TTTGTTTGTTTTTTGCCCCCCCCCCCCCCCCCCAAAAAAAAAAATTGAAAAAAATTGCACTTTATGATATTCTGCAGGTAGACAATGTGGACGGCCACATCCCTTCGGGCGGGCCTCCTTGTAATGTCTTCATGTCTGTCAGTGTTTCCAGATGGAGTGGAAAGCGAGTGTCATCAGTATGCGTCTCCCGACACATTCCTGGGAGACCGATGCAAAGCCACATGTGCACTGCACGCACGCAAAAACATTCAAGAGATTAGTACAGTGCTGACAAATAGTGCGCTGTGTTCCTTAAGAAAGGAAAAGACTGGAAAGGCACTTCCAAAGTCGCACGTAATGTTGGACGTCAGCGTATGTCGGGGTTTAAAGGAATAGCTGCGCCTTTTGGCTTGTTCTTTGGATTTTATGATTTCTTTTTTTGCGCAACGCTTCCAAAAGAAACGGCCTCAACAAGGGGGTGGTGAGAGAGCACATGCCAGTCGAGAAGAATAGACGTCATCCTTGGTTGTCAGTTTTGTCTGACTGATTTGACATTTTTATTTTGAACTAGAGTTAACTTCTTGCATTTGAACGCCAAATCATCAAAACGTGCCTCACGCTTTTGGAATGCGTCTTTTTAAGACTTGTTGTTATTGTTTTTACAATGAGCAGAGGTTAAGTTGATTTTGCTCTTCTATGAGTGAGGGTCGCGATGTTCGAGGCCATGACTTCCTTTCTAGTCCGATATTGAGTAAAAAGTCAAGCTGGTATCTGCGATACCGATCTGACACTGATACCGTGTCTCCGATGTTTGGGATAAACGTCACATTAGCACATCTAGAGCAAAGTCACTCCGGATGACCTCCACTGAAAAAAAAAAGTATTGATTTTCCTCAGTGTTATTTATTTTATCCAGATGCATTTTTTTAAGTAGATATATAGTCTACTTGAAAAATGGATCTGTATCCAGATGATTTTGTTCCGTGCAACTCGACCAAAAAAACCCCCAAAACAAAATGGAATAAATTCAACAAAATGTTTTCCGTGTAAATGTTATGTAACAGTTGATATTTGAGAAGCGATTCGGTGACAAATTCATGCCTGTTAACACACTGCAGCAAATTCATTGCAGTGAGCAATGAACAGCAGGCATGACATCATCGATGTGCTGCGAGTTATTACGGTAGATGTTTTTGGATGACACGTCGCCACATCATTTCCCCCCCGTCTTTGCTCTCCTTTCAACTTACTCTTGCATCAAACCTCTTTTGGTCGAATAAAAGTAATGACTCACTCATCCCCGAAGGAGACGCACATTTTGTCTTTGAATCCACTGAGAGATGGTTATGCTATTACGGCTTGTTAAAATATGAGGCGCAATAAAAATCTGAAGGAAAATGCTACTTTTGTTGGCACTCACGTGGCTCTTTGGAGTCTCCGCATTGCGGCGGCGAGCTGAGTAAGCACGCCGCCGTCCGTGTCTGCGCGCACTGCACATCTGGAGTTGAAAATGGTCTGGCTGATCTGGAAATATTTTTGGGGACGATTCTATAACAGGGTATTTCACAATCGAGATGTTTCTGTTTTATTTTCCTCAAGACCCTCCCTCCAAGGAGAATCCCTACGAAGACATCGAGCTGGAGAGAAGTTGCCTTGGGAGCAAATGTGTATCACCTGCCTCGTCTTCGCCCATTCCTGACACCCCCATTAAGGTACAGCCAGACTGGGACTAAACATTTTCTGTATTGCTTGCCGTTAATGAAATGACGGGTGCGTTTGCGGTGGAATCCGCCCGAAGTCAGCTCGGATAGGCTCCAGCATGCCCGCGACCCCCCATGAGGATAAACGGTTTGGATGATGGATGGATAGATGTCAATTTTCAACAGGAGCATTAAAAAAATGCGCAACTCCCGCTAGCTCTTGTGACCTGTTTTTGTTCTTCCATTTTCTTCCATTTTGACATTTCTTTACATTGTGGATACTATTTACTGTAAAATAACATTCATTGTAATTTTTGTACTTTAGTACCTTCCAGAGTCCGTATGTTATTTATTTTTTTACACTCGCCACTTGTGGGGGATATTAGGTGCCTCACTCTGCAAATGTAAGCTGATAGCGAATCAAATAGCGTCTTTTCTTTTTCTTTCCAACATAAAATCTGATTGAAATGAAAATTTTAACAGTGCTGAAATATTTTTCACGGTGAACTGTTATTTAGCGATGACGAAAGCACAGTTACAATAATGATGATGGACCGAAGAACTGACGGTAAACGGCTTGAAATCATAACGGATGGAAGATACCGGAAGGGTCGCCCGGCTTCTGACGAATGACGGACCGACAAACTTTGACCAACGTGCCCATCACTGCCTATGTGCTTGTCGTGTTTGCAAGAAGATTGCTATCGCTCATTTTACCACAGAAGAAGAAGGTCACCAGCCAATTGCAGGGAACGCATCGACAAACAACCGTTTACACGCACATTCACACTAATGGTTTTGTGTCCTCATTTAAACTCATGTTTTTGCATATGCAGTTGAACTTTATACTGTCTGTGTTGCCGCCAGCTGTGCTCCAAGCCTGGCTTCTTCAGACAGAACTCCGAGAGACGGAGTTTCAAACTCTTGGAGTTACGCAAGACCAACAGGGACGCCGGGGTGTCCACACCGTCACGTGCCAGCCCGCCTTCCACGCCCAGCAGCCCGGATGACACCCCTTGTCTCTCCGGGGACCCGTGAAGTTGAGTCAATTGAAGTTGGAAGTAGATTTCAGTGATTAAAATGATCCTTCATTGTTACCTCCTCCCAGCCGCTATTGAGCAAAATGATGTTTTGATCGCCATTGCGTGGACAATCCCACAAAAATGTGGCTGCTTTCTCGCCGTTTTGTGTGGCTTTATAGAGCAGTCCCAACTGGGAATCAAAATGGCACCCGGCGGCCATTTTATTTATTTATTTTTTACATCTGATGTATTGTCAAGACACACTGAACCAGGAAGTGGCTTAACAAACAAGCAGGAATCTGTTTTTCTTGTTGCCACCCCCCCCCCCCCCAAAAAAAAAAATTGAAAAAAATTGCACTTTATGATATTCTGCAGGTAGACAATGTGGACGGCCACATCCCTTCGGGCGGGCCTCCTTGTAATGTCTTCATGTCTGTCAGTGTTTCCAGATGGAGTGGAAAGCGAGTGTCATCAGTATGCGTCTCCCGACACATTCCTGGGAGACCGATGCAAAGCCACATGTGCACTGCACGCACGCAAAAACATTCAAGAGATTAGTACAGTGCTGACAAATAGTGCGCTGTGTTCCTTAAGAAAGGAAAAGACTGGAAAGGCACTTCCAAAGTCGCACGTAATGTTGGACGTCAGCGTATGTCGGGGTTTAAAGGAATAGCTGCGCCTTTTGGCTTGTTCTTTGGATTTTATGATTTCTTTTTTTGCGCAACGCTTCCAAAAGAAACGGCCTCAACAAGGGGGTGGTGAGAGAGCACATGCCAGTCGAGAAGAATAGACGTCATCCTTGGTTGTCAGTTTTGTCTGACTGATTTGACATTTTTATTTTGAACTAGAGTTAACTTCTTGCATTTGAACGCCAAATCATCAAAACGTGCCTCACGCTTTTGGAATGCGTCTTTTTAAGACTTGTTGTTATTGTTTTTACAATGAGCAGAGGTTAAGTTGATTTTGCTCTTCTATGAGTGAGGGTCGCGATGTTCGAGGCCATGACTTCCTTTCTAGTCCGATATTGAGTAAAAAGTCAAGCTGGTATCTGCGATACCGATCTGACACTGATACCGTGTCTCCGATGTTTGGGATAAACGTCACATTAGCACATCTAGAGCAAAGTCACTCCGGATGACCTCCACTGAAAAAAAAAAGTATTGATTTTCCTCAGTGTTATTTATTTTATCCAGATGCATTTTTTTAAGTAGATATATAGTCTACTTGAAAAATGGATCTGTATCCAGATGATTTTGTTCCGTGCAACTCGACCAAAAAAACCCCCAAAACAAAATGGAATAAATTCAACAAAATGTTTTCCGTGTAAATGTTATGTAACAGTTGATATTTGAGAAGCGATTCGGTGACAAATTCATGCCTGTTAACACACTGCAGCAAATTCATTGCAGTGAGCAATGAACAGCAGGCATGACATCATCGATGTGCTGCGAGTTATTACGGTAGATGTTTTTGGATGACACGTCGCCACATCATTTCCCCCCCGTCTTTGCTCTCCTTTCAACTTACTCTTGCATCAAACCTCTTTTGGTCGAATAAAAGTAATGACTCACTCATCCCCGAAGGAGACGCACATTTTGTCTTTGAATCCACTGAGAGATGGTTATGCTATTACGGCTTGTTAAAATATGAGGCGCAATAAAAATCTGAAGGAAAATGCTACTTTTGTTGGCACTCACGTGGCTCTTTGGAGTCTCCGCATTGCGGCGGCGAGCTGAGTAAGCACGCCGCCGTCCGTGTCTGCGCGCACTGCACATCTGGAGTTGAAAATGGTCTGGCTGATCTGGAAATATTTTTGGGGACGATTTTATAACAGGGTATTTCACAATCGAGATGTTTCTGTTTTATTTTCCTCAAGACCCTCCCTCCAAGGAGAATCCCTACGAAGACATCGAGCTGGAGAGAAGTTGCCTTGGGAGCAAATGTGTATCACCTGCCTCGTCTTCGCCCATTCCTGACACCCCCATTAAGGTACAGCCAGACTGGGACTAAACATTTTCTGTATTGCTTGCCGTTAATGAAATGACGGGTGCGTTTGCGGTGGAATTCGCCCGAAGTCAGCTCGGATAGGCTCCAGCATGCCCGCGACCCCCCATGAGGATAAACGGTTTGGATGATGGATGGATAGATGGCAATTTTCAACAGGAGCATTAAAAAAATGCGCAACTCCCGCTAGCTCTTGTGACCTGTTTTTGTTCTTCCATTTTCTTCCATTTTGACATTTCTTTACATTGTGGATACTATTTACTGTAAAATAACATTCATTGTAATTTTTGTACTTTAGTACCTTCCAGAGTCCGTATGTTATTTATTTTTTTACACTCGCCACTTGTGGGGGATATTAGGTGCCTCACTCTGCAAATGTAAGCTGATAGCGAATCAAATAGCGTCTTTTCTTTTTCTTTCCAACATAAAATCTGATTGAAATGAAAATTTTAACAGTGCTGAAATATTTTTCACGGTGAACTGTTATTTAGCGATGACGAAAGCACAGTTACAATAATGATGATGGACCGAAGAACTGACGGTAAACGGCTTGAAATCATAACGGATGGAAGATACCGGAAGGGTCGCCCGGCTTCTGACGAATGACGGACCGACAAACTTTGACCAACGTGCCCATCACTGCCTATGTGCTTGTCGTGTTTGCAAGAAGATTGCTATCGCTCATTTTACCACAGAAGAAGAAGGTCACCAGCCAATTGCAGGGAACGCATCGACAAACAACCGTTTACACGCACATTCACACTAATGGTTTTGTGTCCTCATTTAAACTCATGTTTTTGCATATGCAGTTGAACTTTATACTGTCTGTGTTGCCGCCAGCTGTGCTCCAAGCCTGGCTTCTTCAGACAGAACTCCGAGAGACGGAGTTTCAAACTCTTGGAGTTACGCAAGACCAACAGGGACGCCGGGGTGTCCACACCGTCACGTGCCAGCCCGCCTTCCACGCCCAGCAGCCCGGATGACACCCCTTGTCTCTCCGGGGACCCGTACAACCGGCGGCGGAGGAAAATCCCCAAGGTATCAAGCCCGCATGTGCACTCTTACACATCTGCATGCCTACGGTCAACTAAACACCGTTAGCCAGAATGAATTGTAATCCCTCTACAGTTGGTCAAAGGCAGACACAGCCACCAGTGCATTTTCAGTCACTTTTTGGAGCAAATGGTTAACAACACAAAAGGCTTGAGATCATTTTATTTACCTCCTCCAGATGGTGATGAAAATCAATGGGATCTTTGAGGCTCGGAGAGGAAAAAAGCGCATGAAGAAGGTTTGAAAAAAATTGCACTTTATGATATTCTGCAGGTAGACAATGTGGACGGCCACATCCCTTCGGGCGGGCCTCCTTGTAATGTCTTCATGTCTGTCAGTGTTTCCAGATGGAGTGGAAAGCGAGTGTCATCAGTATGCGTCTCCCGACACATTCCTGGGAGACCGATGCAAAGCCACATGTGCACTGCACGCACGCAAAAACATTCAAGAGATTAGTACAGTGCTGACAAATAGTGCGCTGTGTTCCTTAAGAAAGGAAAAGACTGGAAAGGCACTTCCAAAGTCGCACGTAATGTTGGACGTCAGCGTATGTCGGGGTTTAAAGGAATAGCTGCGCCTTTTGGCTTGTTCTTTGGATTTTATGATTTCTTTTTTTGCGCAACGCTTCCAAAAGAAACGGCCTCAACAAGGGGGTGGTGAGAGAGCACATGCCAGTCGAGAAGAATAGACGTCATCCTTGGTTGTCAGTTTTGTCTGACTGATTTGACATTTTTATTTTGAACTAGAGTTAACTTCTTGCATTTGAACGCCAAATCATCAAAACGTGCCTCACGCTTTTGGAATGCGTCTTTTTAAGACTTGTTGTTATTGTTTTTACAATGAGCAGAGGTTAAGTTGATTTTGCTCTTCTATGAGTGAGGGTCGCGATGTTCGAGGCCATGACTTCCTTTCTAGTCCGATATTGAGTAAAAAGTCAAGCTGGTATCTGCGATACCGATCTGACACTGATACCGTGTCTCCGATGTTTGGGATAAACGTCACATTAGCACATCTAGAGCAAAGTCACTCCGGATGACCTCCACTGAAAAAAAAAAGTATTGATTTTCCTCAGTGTTATTTATTTTATCCAGATGCATTTTTTTAAGTAGATATATAGTCGACTTGAAAAATGGATCTGTATCCAGATGATTTTGTTCCGTGCAACTCGACCAAAAAAACCCCCAAAACAAAATGGAATAAATTCAACAAAATGTTTTCCGTGTAAATGTTATGTAACAGTTGATATTTGAGAAGCGATTCGGTGACAAATTCATGCCTGTTAACACACTGCAGCAAATTCATTGCAGTGAGCAATGAACAGCAGGCATGACATCATCGATGTGCTGCGAGTTATTACGGTAGATGTTTTTGGATGACACGTCGCCACATCATTTCCCCCCCGTCTTTGCTCTCCTTTCAACTTACTCTTGCATCAAACCTCTTTTGGTCGAATAAAAGTAATGACTCACTCATCCCCGAAGGAGACGCACATTTTGTCTTTGAATCCACTGAGAGATGGTTATGCTATTACGGCTTGTTAAAATATGAGGCGCAATAAAAATCTGAAGGAAAATGCTACTTTTGTTGGCACTCACGTGGCTCTTTGGAGTCTCCGCATTGCGGCGGCGAGCTGAGTAAGCACGACATGGATAGATGGCAATTTTCAACAGGAGCATTAAAAAAATGCGCAACTCCCGCTAGCTCTTGTGACCTGTTTTTGTTCTTCCATTTTCTTCCATTTTGACATTTCTTTACATTGTGGATACTATTTACTGTAAAATAACATTCATTGTAATTTTTGTACTTTAGTACCTTCCAGAGTCCGTATGTTATTTATTTTTTTACACTCGCCACTTGTGGGGGATATTAGGTGCCTCACTCTGCAAATGTAAGCTGATAGCGAATCAAATAGCGTCTTTTCTTTTTCTTTCCAACATAAAATCTGATTGAAATGAAAATTTTAACAGTGCTGAAATATTTTTCACGGTGAACTGTTATTTAGCGATGACGAAAGCACAGTTACAATAATGATGATGGACCGAAGAACTGACGGTAAACGGCTTGAAATCATAACGGATGGAAGATACCGGAAGGGTCGCCCGGCTTCTGACGAATGACGGACCGACAAACTTTGACCAACGTGCCCATCACTGCCTATGTGCTTGTCGTGTTTGCAAGAAGATTGCTATCGCTCATTTTACCACAGAAGAAGAAGGTCACCAGCCAATTGCAGGGAACGCATCGACAAACAACCGTTTACACGCACATTCACACTAATGGTTTTGTGTCCTCATTTAAACTCATGTTTTTGCATATGCAGTTGAACTTTATACTGTCTGTGTTGCCGCCAGCTGTGCTCCAAGCCTGGCTTCTTCAGACAGAACTCCGAGAGACGGAGTTTCAAACTCTTGGAGTTACGCAAGACCAACAGGGACGCCGGGGTGTCCACACCGTCACGTGCCAGCCCGCCTTCCACGCCCAGCAGCCCGGATGACACCCCTTGTCTCTCCGGGGACCCGTACAACCGGCGGCGGAGGAAAATCCCCAAGGTATCAAGCCCGCATGTGCACTCTTACACATCTGCATGCCTACGGTCAACTAAACACCGTTAGCCAGAATGAATTGTAATCCCTCTACAGTTGGTCAAAGGCAGACACAGCCACCAGTGCATTTTCAGTCACTTTTTGGAGCAAATGGTTAACAACACAAAAGGCTTGAGATCATTTTATTTACCTCCTCCAGATGGTGATGAAAATCAATGGGATCTTTGAGGCTCGGAGAGGAAAAAAGCGCATGAAGAAGGTCTCCACCGAGTCTAGCTCAGGGAGAGGTGAGGCGTTACTTCAAAGATTTTTTGGTGCCGGATTCGTTTCATGCTGTCTGTTGATATAAATGAAGATGTGTTGTATTTAAACGTAGTGACCGATGAGAACAGCGAGTCAGAAAGTGACACAGAGGAGAAACTGAAAGGTGAGAAACATCGCTCATAAATTTAGTGCGGTCAAGAAATGGATGTCTTTTGTACCTCATGTGGTTTTTGTTGCCTTTTAGCTCATAGCCAGAGGCTGGTGTCGGTCCAGTCCATGCTGAGGCAGACGGGGCGGTACCGGACCTTGGACAGGGATCTGATGGAGGACAGAAAACTCTTTGAGTACTTCATTGTGGTGGCCCTCCATAAAACCAAAGCCGGAGTCCCTTATCTGCCGGAAGTCACGCAGCAGTTCCCTCTCAAAGTAAACAGACAGCATTTGCTAAAAACCAAACATACAAGCACGATTTTGGGTATTTAGAGGCGGAAAACATTTTTTTAAAGTAACAAAAACATGTATTTGCAAGACAATTCCTCTACTAAATCTACTCAAAGATTTGACTGAATAAAGGCCTTTTCGTACTGCACTTAGCAACGCACAGGCAATTGTGTGTGCATGCTACCCCACAGTGGACACCAAGAAAACCCCAAAAACGGGTTCATAAGAAATTAATGCATTCTGTTCAGGGGAAAAAAGAAATAAGAATATAAATAACAATGCAAATTATGAATAAATTTATTAAATGCTCCAAGTTAAGTTAAAAAAAAAAATAAGAGTAATGTTTTCAAGATTCCTAAATATGAAAAATGAACTCTAACTCAACTCTTTTAATTATTAAAAATTGTTTTATATTAAAAATGACAACGAATAAAAATACTGTTCTGCACATCCAAAATATTGCCTGAACCTGAAAAAAACCTTCAGACTTTAAAAAAAATAATTTGACCCATACCTGCCAGTTTATGACACCTGGCAGATATTTTTCTATGAAAAAAAAAAATGGAGAAAAGTCGACAATTTCCGTTCATGCCTAACCGCTGCAATAGTTTGGTGCAGTAACTTGCACTGGCAGGGAAACCGCTTATCAAAAAAGACTGATGCTATTACATGTGCTCTTTGAGAAAATATAATGATAACGTTGTTGTATTTTCCATTCCAGCTTGAACGAAGCTTCAAGTTCATGCGGGAGACAGAGGACCAGCTGAAGGTCATCCCTCAGTTCTGCTTCCCCGACGCCAAGGACTGGGCGCCTGTCGACAACTTCCCCAGGTCGGTCACGGCGTGCCGCATTGTGTGCGACGTGAACGTGGACGCAAATAACAACAGGCCCAGGCGGCAGCAGCTAGATTCTTGTCAAGATAGTACCAATAGACGAGATGTATGTGTTAAAAAAAAAGTCATATGTGATTTTCTTTCATACCCCCCAGCGAGACTTTTTCATTTGTACTGACCGGTGAGGATGGAAGTCGTCGATTTGGCTACTGCAGACGATTACTGGTACGTACTCCAACTGTCTCCCTAACTGTGTCCAATTGACACACAACTGATTACTCTGCACTAGCAGGCTAAGATTTTCTTTCCTAGAATTGGACTCGTAAGTTATCTATTTCGATTTGACCATGCATCATTATCATCATCATCTTTCTTTACTTAAAGTACAAAGCTGAAGTTTGAACTTTTTTAAAGTCTGCGAGATTTGAAACGGTCTCTCTATATTATGGATTTTCATGTGAACGGGGGTGCACAAATAAATGTAAAACCTGAAACGAGCCTTGGTTGAAGGGTGATGGTAAACACAGGATGGATGCTAGCATGTTAAGCATCATGCGAATCTCTCCATTGTGAGACAAATAAAAGTTTTCTTATCTTAGCTTATCATCTTGTCATCATTGTGTTTTCCGTGCTGCGTGTCTCATTCAAAGCAGGGGCGAGACACCATATTTTTCTAGCGCTAACAATCCCTTCCTCATCTATAGCCCAGCGGTAAAGGTCGGAGGCTCCCAGAGGTCTACTGCATCGTCAGCCGATTGGGCTGCTTTGACCTCTTTTCGAAGGTACAGTCCAAGCAAACTCACCTCCAACAAAAACAAAAAAATATTTTAACTTTCAAGCGGCGATGGTAAAAGAGAACCTGCATGACCACCCTCTGCACCCACTGAGCCACACCCGACCCCGTGTGCGGCTTTGTTCCCTGGCTGGCCTTGTAGTTCAGGCGCCGGCAAAGAGACGCGTGTCTGTGCAGCTGCTGTGGTTACTACAGTGGGAATTAAAAGATTTACAGGCATTTCCACTTTACAATGTCTGCTTACGCCACCATCGCTTCATTAAAACGGCATGTAAATATGCCCTTGAAGTGGTCTTGCGCTTTGCAGCTTCGCTCAAACTGCTACAGCCACTTAATGATGACCCAGTCTTTACGATATCAGATTTAATTGTGCTATAAACATGGTCATTTGGAAAGGGGGGGGCAGACACATTTATGGCAAGTTATATTCGGTCAGTCAAATGAATGGAAATGCCATTAATCTGTTCTACTGACTTTTTTTTTTCCTGAAAAGAACAACCATTGCGTAGGTCCCAGTTGTTGCAGTGACGATGAAAAAGAGAAGCTACATAGAAAATGGTTGACCTTTCCTAACAGAAATAAATCCATGTCGTCAGATCTTGGACGAGGTGGAAAAGAGGAGAGCCATCTCGCCCGCGCTGGTGCAGCCCTTCATGAGAGGCATCATGGAGGCTCCTTTTCCTGCGCCGGGAAGGACCATCAGTGTCAAAAACTTCCTCCCTGGCTCTGGGACAGAGGTGAGATCCAGTCAGTTAGCGGTTTTTGGCCATCGCCCTCACATTCACCTTTCACCTCCCCAAAGGTGATCGAGCTGTGTCGGCCGTCCGATTCTCGTCTGGAACATGTCGACTTTGAGTGTCTCTTCTCCTCGCTGAGTCTGCGCCTGCTCCTGCGAGTGTTTGCCTCCCTGCTTCTCGAGCGCCGGGTTATCTTTACTGCAGACAAGCTCAGGTTGGCCTCCGTATCTTTCCGCACCTACTTAGCTCAGTGGGTCTCCACCTGGGCCCCGCAAGCCCTAACTTTGGGATCTGTAAATGAATGATGTCATATTTTTTTAAAAGTGCATCGCGACCAGCGATGGGTGCATAATAATAGAGGGTGCCAACAGTACTTTGAATCAGACATGAAAACAAATGTAATAATAGCAGAAATATCTCAAATCTATTGGAGAAGGGACAGCAGGGTGTGGCATTGCCTCACTTGCCTACTCTGATTGCACGTCCCTGGTTGTGAGTGGAAGCAGTGCATATATATATGAATTAATTTAATTCCTTTCTATTAAACAGGGCCACGAATATTTCTGGTGATAAATATTGATGAACGATCCCTGGATTCATCATGTTTGAGATCCCCACGTTAGCTAATTTGTTTTACTCGAACGGTGCATCAGGTTCTTCGCAGCGGACAAACAAATCCTAAAGAAACTCAACAACTGTGAAAGGAAGGAATGCCATTGGCGTCCTCTTTGGAAAACTGTCTTGATGCCAGAATAGAAAGAGTCACATGGCCACACAGCTCGCTGAAGTGCTTAGAAATCTGCACCCATTCTATTAACACAGTGGCCCCAAGCTGTGCCACACCTGGCTCCGCTTCAGTGGCAGCAGCCATTGAATCAGGATTTAATGAAAACAACATGTGCCCCGTGCTTGAGCTCTGATGAACGCACATCAATGAATAGAGGGGGAAAAAAATCTTATTTTTATCAGAAATAAACTATCTTTTGAGATTTTTTTTTCCCAAGAAGGCTTATTTTTCACTGTTTAAAAATAATCCAATACTGCAGCAATGTTTTAATGGTTTGCTTCTTAAAATAAGATTTCTCGTACATTACAATTCACACTCCTCAATATGAGACTTTTTTTTCCTGCAACAAATATCACTTTTCTCTGAAAAAGATGACTGTATTCTCCTTAGATTCCGATTTTATTCTCAGAGTATCAGCGCCCTTGCATATTATTCCTCATTCTAGCAAGTGGAAACTTGGTCTCATCCATCATATTTTTTTAATGAATTAAATGTTTGCACATGAAGCAAGCTGTGTGCTGCTGGACCTTTTTTTCCCCTCCAGTGCAACATTCCACTCATCCTAACGGTGCATATTTCCAAACACATTTTTTTTTCTCTCCCAGAAAAAAGTGCACTCAGCCAGAGTGGTTTATCGCCATCTAGTGGCTGAAACGTGCAATTGCACTGCCTTCAAGTCCAACCAGCCAAGTTTGAGTTTATCCGGTTTAAATCCTTCCTTGAGCGCACAATGGCATACAAAACATCTTAAAAAAATACACTCTATGTCCAACTGTAACTTTGGAAAACACAGCATCAATTGATAATATCCTGAATGATATCATACCAATGTCATATTTCACATTTGTGGTATGGCAATTATATGGTTCCCTGTTGTGTTTTCTTGGTAGCACCTTGTCACAATCTTGCCATGCCGTGGTGGCTCTCCTCTACCCGTTCACGTGGCAGCACACGTATATTCCCGTGCTGCCGCCTTCCATGTTGGATATCGTGTGCACCCCGACCCCTTTCATCGTTGGGCTGCTCTCCAGCTCGCTGCCTCGACTGAAAGAGCTTCCTATAGAGGAGGTAAGAACAGAGGAGAAGGATTTTGTTTGTTTTTAGTTTTCGCCATTAGCTACAGGAAATGCCATAATTTCAATCAGCGAAAGTGGTGTCATGGCTCCCTCTAGTGGTGCAAGAATGATCACTGAATGAAATGTCCAATTTGTGCATCATTTTAAGTTTGTTTGTTTGTTTGTTTAATAATTTGACAGAAAAAAAGGTAAATAAAATAGTAAAGAGGAAAGAGAAATTAGTCATCATTCAACACAGTGGTTTAAACTTTCTTTTTTTTTAACTTGTACAGCACATTTGGTTAGTAGAGTTCAGTTGTGTTTAACTTTAAGGGACAATATATTTACAACAAAAAAGTGTAATGTGTTTATTCTAAAAACACTCATTTTGGTACACTTTTTATTTAACTTGAATGTACACTATAAATGTCAGTACATTTTGTGAAAATGGTTATGTTTGGTCCCAGCCTAAACGGTGAAATTTACACTTGGGAGTTAGTAAACTATTCAGTCTTTCAAGGATCCGTTTTTTTTTTTTTGTTTTTTTTGGGTTGTAAACTTCTCTATCCCCTGCGTCTCTTGGGAGCAGTCAAATGGTGGATGGTGGAGTGGAGTAAGGTTCCATATTGTTCTTGTATGGACATAATAACAATACAGACTGGTGGAATGCAGTTCCATAGGCTTCCAAAGTTCACACTCACTGTTACAGATTCCTTTTGACCTCCTTTTTCCCTTTTCTCAGACTCCAGCTCCCTCAGCACCGTGGTGTCAGAGGCGTTTGTGCGCTTCTTCGTGGAAATGGTCGGCCATTATTCGCTCTTCATGGGCGGGTCAGAGCGCGAGGACGAGTCGTCCGTCTCGTCTCCCGCTTCGCCCGGTCCCTCCTCTTCCTCTTCCTGCGCCGCATCCTTTCAGCGGGAGGCCTTTCGTAAGGCGGTCACCTCCAAAAGTTTGAGGAGGTTCCTGGAGGTGTTCATGGAAACCCAGATGTTTACAGGTTTCATCCAGGAGAGGGAGCTGCGCAGACAGGGCCTCAGAGGTACCGGAAATAAATGAATACCTACTTAAAACACTTGACTAGTGCAACGCAGTGAGGTTCATGATGTCATTGAGGAAGTCTTTTCTTGATGCGACACCTGATCGGTCGTGTCCTTCTTCCTCCAGGCCTGTTTGAGGTGCGAGCACAGGAATACCTTGACTCACTTCCTGGCAGTGAACAGCGAGGCGTCAACAAGTTCTTAAAAGGCTTAGGTGAGACTTTTAGTCGGCGCAGATCCTTTCATTCAGTTGTTTGCAAAATGGGAGTTCCCGCAGGGGTCCGTGAGCTGTTTTATGGGAGTCCACAAAATTGTGTGCATGAAAAAAAAAAAAGCTTTGAGAATCCCTGTTTTAGTGTTACACCATTTTCTCATATTGTTTTCATGATTGTTTATTTGTATGTTTTTTTTTGTTTTTAAGGAAACAAGATGAAATTCCTCTCCAAGAAGTGACGTTAACAAACGTGATGACAAAAGAAGGAGGGAAGAAAATAAAATGAGTAGCTTTCAAATGAAAGGAAGGACCTTTAAAGTTGAAGAAACTCGTTGCAAGTTGTTTTGAGAACTCTGACCCCCCCGGATGAGCTTTCTCTGGAAAGCAAAGCACAGTGTAAATACTTCAGGAACTTTCCGGACAACTCATACATTCCAACTATTTCCTATAGAAAATTTTGACACTACTACAACTTCTTCTTCAACAGGAGGCTTTGGGTTAATTTATATTCTTTGTTATTGTTTTTGTTTTTTTTCTTAAGTAACTGTAATCTCCCTTTGTGTGTGTGTGCGCGCGCGCGTGCGCGTGTGTGTGTGTATAAAGAAACTCCTGTAGCGTGTTCATCGGCTTTTATTTAACAAGATCCAGACTCATTGGGTGTACGTACCACTGTGTTGAGTAAATTAACAGATTTGCATGTTTATCACCGGCGTAGGAATGAGCACCAAACGAAAAGGCAAGAGGGGGAGAAAATGTGAAGACGAGCAGAAAACGAATGTGAACGTCTCTCAAGTGTCAAAAGGCTTGGCGGAGGGATGTGTGAGGCTGACGCGTGTCGATGTGGTAGGTGAAGCGGTGGCGATGGGTTTGCGTGAACCTTTGAGAATGCAACTTTATCAATAAAGTTGTGGATTTGTATTTGATGTATATAACACTTTCATTTGGACTGCGGCGTCATGATGTTGAAAGCAGGGTACACACACATGCTGATCTTTATTTACACTGTGAACAACACAGGGCAAGGAATATAAAAAAAAATCTATTTTAAAGTGCCTCCGATTAACCCCAAATAAATTTCTGATGTTCTCGAAGGACTTTCCTGACTTTTTGTTATTTTTCCGGGAGAACATTGGAACTCCCCTCGGAAGGTCAAGGCTGGAATCCAAACCCACGATAAGCACCGTAAGTCGACCACCATGATGGTGACTTTTTTTTTTTATATCCACTGGAAATCGGTGTTTTCCAAATGGCGACTTCCAACAAATGTTAAAACCGGTTTGTTTGCTTGCAGTTTTGGTTGTTTGCCTCAGCTTTCAATAACCGATAACAAATCCTCACTGTGAACAACACAGGGCAAGGAATAAAAAAAAATCTGTTTTAAAGTCCCTCCGATTAACCCCAAATAAATTTCTGATGTTCTCGAAGGACTTTCCTGACTTTTTTGTTTTTTTTCCGGGAGAACATTGGAACTCCCCTCGGAAGGTCAAGGCTGGAATCCAAACCCACGATAAGCACCGTAAGTCGACCACCATGATGGTGACTTTTTTTTTTTATATCCACTGGAAATCGGTGTTTTCCAAATGGCGACTTCCAACAAATGTTAAAACCGGTTTGTTTGCTTGCAGTTTTGGTTGTTTGCCTCAGCTTTCAATAACCGATAACAAATCCTCCATTCGACCCATGGCGCGGTTTATACATACTGATCTATGAGAAGGATTACACATCTGTGTGCATGATGTAACGTCATTTAAATCTGCTGAACATGCTGATCTCAATGAACCAGATGATCAACTCAAGTTTACTTCTGGAGGGCAGGGTAGTTGTTCCGAGCATCGCCACCAGGGGATCTCAGTATCTCACGCAATGAAGCACAGCAAAGGCCTCCCAATGAATCGATTCGAAGCACGTCCTTGGAAGGGAAAACATACCTCATACATATGCTTAAAAAATTGTATTCTGAAAAATTGGATGGGTGAGAAGCAAAAGGGACTACAAATTGTTCAAGGAAACGCTGACTTTTTTTTATATCCACTGGAAATCGGTTTTTTCCAAATGGCGACTTCCAACAAATGTTACAACCGGTTTGTTTGCTTGCAGTTTTGTTTGCCTCAGCTTTCAATAACCGATAACAAATCCTCCATTCGACCCATAGCGCGGTTTATACATACTGATCTACGAGAAGGATTATACGTCTGTGTGCATGATGAAACGTCATTTAAATCTGCTGGACATGCTGATCTCAATGAACCAGATGATCAACTCAAGTTTACTTCTAGAGGGCAGGGTAGTTCCGAGCATCGCCACCAGGGGGTCTCAGTAGTTCACGCAATGAGCACAGCAAAGGCCTCCCAATGAATCGAAGCACGTCCTTGGAAGGAAATACCTCATACATATGCTTAAAAAATTGTATTCTGAAAAATTGGATGGATGAGAAGCAAAAGGGACTACAAATTGTTCAAGGAAAACAAATAAATTGTGTTCAAAATGCAGTGAAACCTCAATGGAATATACAGGTACTGTATATTTTTTTCTCCCCAAGGTAAGCTTGCAAAACTAATACTATATGATGACTCTGAAATCTTGTCTCAGCATGGAGTGAAGTATTTTAATGTGTCTGAACACAATATGTATTTGTTTATTCATATTTGTGTGAATGCTTGACATTCAGCATGAATCAGAACGAATATTTTTGAAACACTCAATGTGAGTTTGCATCTTCTCCCTGTGCCGGCGTGGGTTTTTTTATTTCTGGGTACTCTGGTTTCCTCTTCCTCGCTTCAAGTGTTCTCTATTCAGCCTTTTGTTTGCTCTCCCAAATGTTTTCAGCAAATGTTGGGGAGAGCAAACGAGACTCCCAATTGCGCCCCACTGTTTAGGAGATCCCATTCAAAACGAAATAAAAATTAACCGAAAATGATCTTTTGGGGTGGTCCGGTGGTCCAGTGGTTAGCGCGTCGACCTCACAGTGCAGAGGTACCGGGTTCAATTCCGACCTCCCTGTGTGGAGTTTGCATGTTCTCCCCTGGGCCTGCGTGGGTTTTCTCCGGGTACTCTGGTTTCCTCCCACATTCCAAAAACATGCAGGGCAGGTTGGTTCATGGAACACACTAAATTGTCCCTAGGTGTGATTGTGAGCACGGATTGTTGTCTGTCTATGTGTGCCCTGCGATTGGCTGGCAACCAGTTTAGGGTGCCCGAAGACACCTGGGATAGGCTCTGACACACCCACGCCCCCTGTAAGGATAAATGGATTATATAATAGATAGCTTGTTTGAAGAACTGACTCTCACATTAACGCAAACATGCACAGTATCAGTATATGTCTCGGCTTTCATACGGAAGCAAGACTAAACACTTTCGTGCAAGTGTGAATACTTGAATGCCAGCATTCACACGTCTAAAAAGAAAGTGTCATTCGTGTGAACCATCGACTGTCAGCATGAACATCATTTTTTAAAATAACTTATCATGAATCTTAATTGTGTGAATGTTTGACTTTCGGCATTCCCATAAAATTCCAAAGAAACCTGATATTGTATGAGTATTAAAAAGAATCTGAAACATTTCGGTCACATATTGTCATCAGTGACTGTAGTGACTCTCAGAATGAACACAACATAAACAATAATGATAACACCAATACTCGGCATCCAATCGTGTGTCCCAGCGTCCGCACACCAGCCAGAATAAAAATTTTTGACACAGTGTGCAATGCATTTTAATTCTTGGGATGCCATCGTTCACACAATAACGTAATGTTTATTTGAATGATTGCCTCTCAGAATTGACACATTATATTTTGATGTATGGCCTTTTTATACTCACGATGATTAAAACAATCATACATTAAATACACAATGTTGTGCACGTGTGATTGCTTGACTTTCAGCATTGTGTTTATGCTCAAATCATTCACCGTAACTTATGTAGGGTTTTTTTTCCCCTTTGTTTTGTTGTGAATAGGGTGTGAACGATCACATTCACAATGCAATTACTCCGTAATAACCGCAGAATATCACCTCGACCATATTTTGGCCCCGTTCGTTCGAATGTTTGACTCTCGGCGTCGACACAATGAAACAGCCTGCCTCCCGACCCCTCCCGGCCCCTCCTTCTCCCCCCCATGATGACGCGGTGACGGGTCAGACGTGCCTCCCCTCCA